CTTTGGTAACAATGTCCCAGATATTATATCTGTGAAAATGGGCAGTAACAGTAATATTTGTGTGGAACGAGTGGTTGGAAAAATGGATCCTGTTAAAAGAAGACTAATTATTGCTGCTGGTTTTCCTGCCCATGGTGTCCTATCAATATACACTCAAAAGATGACACTAACAACCATCCTGTCAGTCTTACAGATGGTATCAATATATTTTCTTCCAACATAAACAATCCAAATCATTCATTTAAACAGAAATCACTTTAAGTGCATAGCTTTCAGTATTGGTTTCTGCGTGCATTTTATACTAAATTAGTGATATAATTTCCTTGTTTCTAAATTGACATTGTATTTTTATGAGCCAATAATGCTTGCCTACCAGGCTTCCACTTCTCAATAAAATCTTTCTGTAGGTGGCTCTGGGAAAATTATGAGCAGGCTGTTATTAATACTCAGATAAATTTAATAGCTGCTATCATCACGCTGGCAGTAAACAAATGAAAATGCACTAGAACATGCTTCAGTGAAACTGGTGCTTAATTGTCAGCAAGAAAGGTCTACAGGACAAAGGTCAGGTATCTACAGTGTAATTACTTCCCAGAACAGCTACACCCATAATTAAAGACTGAGTAGGCCATCTTAGTCCACATGGCATCTGTGAGCTTAGGTCAAATTCTAACCGTATTCAAACAGGCAAAAATGGGTGAACAGCGAGAGCCACCCTTGTCACTGACCACAAAGAGATGTCTGCTGTTTTTTTAGAACAAAATTTTGTGTGATAAAAATGAGGACCTAGAAGAGCAGTAAAGGTTAGAAGGAGACACTATAACACCTCCATAAAGGAAACATCTGGTCAAAGGCTGTAGGAGTGCTGAGCATTCGTAAAAATTTAGCTGATGCTTCCTGATCAAACACCAGAAAACCTGAGCAAGTCTGTATTATGGATGGGAGGAAAAAAGGCAGAATTCTGAGATTCTGTGAGCCAGCACTTAGGATATATCTCTATAAAAACCCCACACTGTTGACAAACTGAAATGTATTTTCAGAAAGTGAAATTACTTTCCTTGTTTAGGTACTCCCGAGGAGCAATGCAGATCAATAATTTGTGTGTACAGGTCTGGTGACATTTCTCTCCAGTGCTACTTAGTTTTCAGGCCAACTCCCCTGTCTTGTGCCACTCTAAAGCTTCACAAACAGGGAGGCCCTGCAGACACTAAGGCACATCACCACTAGCACTCCTCCCCGATGCACCACCAGCCTGGATCCTGCTCAGCCTCCCAGTCTTGTTCTGAACCTCAGCATCATTCTAAAATCTGCCAGAAAGGAGTCAGCTATGGGAAACCTGCTTTGCTGGAAGGATGGTTTCTAACACACTTGCCAGTTTTATTTTGCAGGAATTTAAATAGTGAGAGAACGACGTTTTCTAGACGTATGTAATTCCTCATATAGCTCCAGGATGCAACTCTGATGAGCAGAGGTTGAGCTTTTGAATCTGTATTCTTTGGGATGAAAATTTTTTACGTCACAGCTCTTTCAAGCGTGGCTGGAAAGGCAGCTAGAGGAAGATGGGAGAACAGATTTCTATAGAAACTAACAACTGGTGTATCTCCTTCTAAACTCAAGACAGATTATTTAACCTATTCAAATCTTCTTGACCTACCTACATTTAGTCAGTGCAGCTTTGTAAGGAACTTAATTGCCCATTAATTTGTCCGGAGGTATGGTAATTAATGAGCAGCTGCCAAGATTTGTTTTGTATCAGCATTTAAAAGCCATAATTTTGATAGCAATGTATTGTCTCTGAGGCTTCTTTGTTCTTGTACTTAATCATTTGCCCTACTTACCAAAACACTTCTAATTACTTTACATAATATCCTTCATTTCACTGCCTGGAAAACCTGACAACTCGCTGAAATACTCTCCATTGTGACTGCCTGTAAGAAAGAGATGCCGAATACATCAGCTTCAGGTTTTCTTCTCCAGTTTAAAAATATGAATTACACTTTTTTTTATTCCTTGTTTAAAAAACCAGATAATTTAGTATATAAGCCATGAATAATTTATTACAAGAGAAATATTAGCATAATTTCACTAAAAAATCAAAGTTATTCCAAACTAATAACTAAATATAAACACTTAAAAAATAACATCCCTTACAGTAAATGTTTTTTTATACAAAAACTTAATCAGTAATTTACTTCTTAACATGACAGACTTCCTGTACACCATGAAAATAAGCATTAACTTGGTTTTCTGACATTGTAAGAAAATAACATTCTTTTACTAGTAGTTGTTATTTATGTATAAAAGCAGATAGACAGGTCCAGTAGAAAATAACAGAATTTTTGCTCGGTACAAGTTAATTGACTGTCAACAGTTGGTATAAAGAATGTCCAGACCCTTCTCAAAGGAATTATATTACCTGTCTTTAAAAAATGCCAATACATTCATTCAGGAACTGGACTGGTTGCTTTTTCTTACTAATAACCCATTTGGTCATACCACAGTGATTACTGTATAAGCAAATAAAGGGGCCACGAGCTATGGAAAGGGATTATTTTTCTCTTTTTAGTGTAAATATTTTCTTCAGTTATTCTTTAAATGGAGTAATTCACAATGAAAAACAATTCAAGTTTTTGTTAACAGACAAACTGTAATAAAAACTCCATCTTCAGTCTTTTTATTATTTGCATTACCTGTTTTTAACCACAAAGATTTTGAAGCTTGAATCTGGCCAATAAAGCCACAGTATCCTCTACATTAACTAAGAAGTAATGAAACTCTGTAGATTTTCTTCCCTAAAGCTTCTTTGACACATGCATTTTAACAGCAAAGAATTACTGCAAGTCTCATCACCCAAGAATCTGAAAAATATTCCAAAGCTGTATGGACTATCATTATATTTTCAAGGCAAGTACATTTTTTGAGAAAATGTTTCTTTTGCTGGGTAGCATTGCTGCCATCTCCTGCACTATGGAATGTAATCTCAAATTAGGTAATCACAGGTGGCAACCGAAGACCCATTGCATAATGACATTATCTGAGCTTCTCTTTACACCAAGACTACCTGCAATATTTTATAAAATACCATGAGAAGAAGAACTGGACACACTTTTCAGTAACACATTTTCCATATATGCTCTTCATCGTAAAAATGAGAGTTTAGCAAGAAGGTGCAGGGGATTGATACAATTTCTACTTCTTCCTGTAGGCGTGTCAACTACAAACCTAGCCAAGTGAAAAAAAAGTGCTTATAATTTAGAAATAACTTTAAGCTAGTATCCCTGCTGTTACTTTCTAGTATTTGATAGCTTCTAAAGCATCATCAAAAATAATTAACAAGTGAGATGTTTCATGAGTATCTTTCAAAAAAGGAAGTACTGAAACTTTGCACAACACAAACATAAAATATCAGCAGCAACCCTTCTGTTCTTACATCTAAATTATGAGCTTTCTTTGGTGGAATAATTTGTTATCCATCCAAACTGTCCTCTTCTACTACACTTTTTGAACATTGGAGAACCTACAGTCTGCTTCATGAGGGAGTTCTGCTTGGCATATATAAATGATTAAAATCAGTTTTTAACTGCTGAAGTGCTAGTAACTTCTGGAAAACATTCTAGACTCACATTTAAGAATCCAAAGATTGGAACTATTATCTTTCTGGTGAGCTCATAACGACCCATACATCCAACAGATGAAGCTACTTTCTTGCTCACAAAGTGGAAAACAAAGGGGATTGTAATGAGTAAATCAGGCACTCTGCAAGCTGGTTTTGTGAGATAAAGATCAGTGACCAGAATTGAGGAGCATTCTGTGGTACAGATACCAGTCTTCTAGGCTTCTGGTAGATTATCATATTGCTAAACATTTAATAGAGGTGAAAACTCATTTTTAGAAATGATGAAAACGCCAAACTAAAAAAAAAGATGTTTTGATATTTTTCACCCCTTGTTTACAGCCCATCCTAGTATTTTTAGAAATAGCGCATGGTCTGTAAGATGGATTCTAACAGAATATAAAATATCAGGACTGTTTTATTATTAATAAAGAATGATAGTGTTCCAGAAAATGAGAAAAAAAATGAAAAGCTTAACTGAGTTTTAATTGGCAATATTAGGAAAATGTACGGAAATAAGCGAAGTCCCTTCTTAAACCTCAAAGTAATATAAAACAGAGTAGAAATTCTTAATTGTACATTCTGTTTCTCTTCTGCCTTTGAATACTTTATTCTTTCATTTCATGTAATTTTTAAGCCAATAGTAAGTGTTTTCAGGTCTCTAATGAATTTTCTTTTTCTTGAACTTGATCTTAAATAAAAAGGTAAAGGCATATTCAGGGACTTGCAATCCACTCAGGATTCCTTGGGTAGAAAAGGATTTTGAAGGAGACAGGTTACCAAAAACTGTATTTGATAAATTCTTTTCATGACATCTATTCAAGGTTTTCGTAGGTGACCAAAATGGAAAAAACTTGTATAAAATTTTATATTAATGGCTAAAAGGGTTAAACACTGTTTTCTTCATATTGTGTCTCCAATAAATGTCCTTCATGTAGAATATCGACATGCTTGCTTGGCAATAAATTATAAAAACATAAAGAAAGCCTGAAATATTAAGGCCATCACCAAGATAATAGTAGACTACTTGTCACTTCAGCAAGTATTACTCTTTATCATTACAAGAAAATTGCATTTTGTAAACGTGGCTTACAAAGACTATTAATTTTTTGCTAAAATTCTCCAATAGGAGATGCTGCATAAAAAAAGGACAATGTTTTTCATTGTCTAACATACAATCACCCTCCTGTTTCTGTCTGTCATATTAATTACTGAACATTTTAATTTCATTCATTACTGCCAACAGCTGACACACAGAGGAGTGGCCCACACTTAACGGGCCTCACAGACCATTTTCCAGAGGACTGCAGAAAAAAAAAGAGTAAAAGTCTAGTAAACATGGGTAGGCTTAGTTGGCAACTCATGATTCTTTGATGATGAGCACTGCTTAGAGAGTTTCATTGACTGAATAAAATGTCATCCTCCTCATATGCCAAAGCTGGATCTTCCATGCTCTCTAGTAAAGTGTCACGGGGTTTGTATTTACGGTGTGGTAGTGATGGTTCTTTGGCAACAGTGGACATCAACTGATTCCAAGTGATGTTAGTATTTTTGAAAGCATGCAATAGGAAAATGCCAATAAGGATACTGCAGAATCCACTCAGGGTTCCAATGATATCACCCACTTGCATACTATTCCACTCCTTGAACAAGATGATGGAGCATGTCAGAACTGTCGTAGTGAAACACACGTAATAAATAGGTGTCACTAGAGATGTATTGAACACATCCAATGCTTTGTTGAGGTAGTTGATCTGAGTGCTGACTGAGAGCACCAAGATGCCCACCAAAATGTAAACCAGCGGATGCCGATAAACTGGCTTCTGCTCCAGCATTTGTTTAATGGCAATGCCCAGGCCTTTCACAGATGAGACGGAGAAGGCACCAATGAGCGAGCAAATTAAAATGTAGATCAATATGTTTGTCTGACCTCTCTTTGGAGCCACGACAAAAATCAGGACAACGGCAACAACTGTTATGAGAACAGCAAATGTGACAAATGCTGTAAGAAAGAGGAAAGGGAAGAAGAGTAATGCACATGAGACAAAATACCAGAACTACATCCAAGTACATAAAGTTATTCAGAGTCCTGAACACTTCTCTATGAACTGTAGCACACATTCACTGGAATAGCTTACAGACCTGGATCTTGCAGCTTTCTTTCCATTTCATCTAGTGAGGTGACCTCTTCCTCCTCTGGGGCGTGAATAACCATGACCGTTGACCCCAAAATACTCAGTACACAGCCCAGCTTTCCGTGAATATTCAGCTTCTCATTTAAAAAATAGGATGACAATATAGCACTGTTTGGTAAAAAATAAATAAAAGATTCAGATCCACCAGCCACACAAGACATTCAAAATCTGTCTGTGTAGCATGACAGTAACTCAAAACCTCATTTGAATTTGGATATATGATCAACCAGACTGAAACAATCAAATTGTCAGGAGTTTTGCAATAAGGTTGGTCATGACCAAGGAGGTCAGGTCAGGTTTTAGGGACATTAACAACCCTGATCACTTCCCTCCAGGTTGCAAAGAGTACAAATTGCTCAAGGAACTTCTCATTCCTGATTGCCTGGGCCAGGAGTATGCACTCTCCCATACCTGTAGCTTAACCACACAAGCTGGATTTTTTCATTAAAAAATAGATTAAAGCACTTCATTTGCCATTAGAACCAATTCACGTGAGTTTTGGAAACTGTTTCTCATCCCTCCCCGGACTCTCCCACCGAGGCACAGTTTCTGCCTGGCTTGTCAGGACTCCCCCCAAACCACAGAGAGGGCATGTCTCCCCCTTTGAAGAGGGATGACCCCAGGATCTCTAAGGTGTTCAATATTTAACCTAAGGACAATAACATGGCCTAAATGAGACCACCTCACAGGGCACAATTAGCCTGTTAGAGCATAACCTTGGGCACAATGGTGTGTGGACGCGCTCCCAAATAGCTTTTCAACCCACTGATCAAAACACAGACATTTTTTTCACACAAAGGTAACAAGTTCCCTGACATGAAGTTCTCGCGACCTCTCTGTTTCATGAAAATTAGAAAGATTGCTATCCTCATCAAAGGAGGGGGTAATAAAACTCAAGCTGTTTTGCAAAGCAGCAGCCAGGCAGCCAGTTAATCTGCATCTACTTACATGCTGACTGCAGCACAACTGAGTTACATTAGTTTTGCTATGATGGAATGGCTGCAGTTTTAGCAATTAGATTGCTGCAAGCATCTTATTGTTTTGGGTTTTTTTAATATGTGGCCCAGGTTGTTTTAAACACAACATTTCATACAGTATACTCAGATCTTAAAAATAAGGGTTTTATACTTAAAAGACAATAATTTCATTTTGTTAATAAATTATTTCCCAGAAAGTTCTTTGTAAGCATAGACCATGTCTTTTCTGCTGCTATGGTAGCCACATTAATGTATGTGGTTAAGTACTTGGAAGTTATTTGTTTCTTCATACATAAGAAATAATAAATTTCTGAAGAACATTCATGTTTCAAAAGAGCCAAAATTTTATTTGCCTTCTTTCCTTAAGGACATGGAAAAGACAAAACAAAACCGAAAGTGTGCCTTAATACGAAATTATCCTTCTATAAAAATAAATGTTTTTGAAAACATTTTAGTGGGGGAATACTATATTTTCTTTTAACGTTTTGGTACAACTGAAGAAGAGGATAACAGTTCGGTTCTCTAGGAAGAGATAAATTACAACCGTCTATCACTGTGCATCAACAGTATACCTGGTACATGCTGACAAGAAATACTTTATAATACAGGTGAAAGGCCATTCAGTGGTCTTTGGAACAAGACTTCTAATTCTGTCTACCCAGAAAACTCAGTTCTAAATAAGCAGATGATCTTTCCACAAAGGAATAAAAAGCATTCTTTGTCCATATATTGCTTTTCTCTACTTTCAGCCAAAGACAGTATTTTTCCCTCATACAGTAAATGGTTCATTTGCCAAGGTTTGCTCCCAGTTGGTACCAACCTTATGAGAACACTCAGTGCACCCAGTGGGGTAACTAAGGTTGCAGGTGCAAACGCATAGGCAGCAAAGTTTACAGCTTCTCCTAATCCCACTGTAGAAGAAAGAACATTTGGATCAGCTTAGGAGGGGAAGGGGATATAAAAGGCATACTACTGTCAATATTTTGTATGACAGCTGTGATAGCAAATATAAAACAAAATATTTTTTCTACACTATATATGCAAATTTTCATTTCAACATTAGCTGCACAACCTCTTCTGGACATAATAAAGGCTGAAGAAAGCTAAACACTTTTCTCCTAAGTACTCCTAGAAGCTGGACAGATGAATCCCAATGTTTTTGATAGGATAATAAAGAAAAGGTGGTTATTCTGCAAGAAGCTCCAAAGACCAAATGCAGTATTTGAGGGAATGGCTCAAATCAGAAAGGCTTGTCTTGAATGTGATTGCAAGGACATTTCTTTTAAGTGAAGGGACTGAAAAATCAGGGAATAAATCTCTTTAAAACAATCTGCTTTATGTAGCATTTACATATAGGCTGAGAAGAAAGAGGTGACTTACTTGATAGCAGTCCAGCCCACCAAAGCCCTTCCTTCAAATAAGAATATCCACCTTGTCCTGAAAGCAGAAAAAATAACCTCATCTTAGAAGAAAGAGATCACCGCCTTATAATAAAGAAAAGTACACCTTCACATTTGCACCTACAAAGTACTGAAAGAGCATGTTATCTGGGTGCGACATGAAGAATACTTGATTCTGACTGACATTTTATTAATCACTCTACTGTTTTGTGACTTGGACTTCTGAAGAATGATATCGACTAAATATACATGGAGGGAAAGTTCCAAACAAAAATAAAATGTCCATAAAGATTGTTGGTGATCTTAAGAAATGCTTCATTGTGCTGTCCCAGCTCAAAACCAATATGTTCATACCATCAGCAATTTTACTTTAAATCAGAAGAAATTAAAAATGCCCCTGCATGCATTAATTATTTTTTTTTACATAAAACATAAGTATATAGAATATTCAGTAATACATCTTTTTCAAACAACCAGATTCTCTGGAACAGTATACTGCAATAAACACAACAAACAAAATAAAACCTGCTAATGCTATGTATTTAAATTCATGTAAAGGGAATTATGAGATTAGTCCAATTGTTCTTTTTCTAGATCTTCATCTGTTGACTTTGATAGGGATAGTTGTACCAACTGTAGAAACTCATCTAATAAATATCCTTTCTACAACTCATTAAGTTAAAAAAAACGCCAACCCAAACCAAAACCACAAAAAAAACCCCCTAAACCTAGCTACCATCCTAAGAGTTTTCATCTCAAATGAGGGAGGAAAAAAAATAGAAAAAGAAAGAGAAAGACATTTTGAAAGCTAAGATGAATGGAGTATTTTATTTGGTAACTAACTACTGTCAGTGACGAAATATCATCAGCTCACTGGATTTAATATGCACTGCAGGTCCCATAGCCCTAGGAATTCTGAAATCCTAGTCCCTGTAATCACACACAGAGAAATAATACTGTATCTCCATCCCTCACCAAGACAGGATTTCTGATTCAAGTGCAACAGTTTTAAACATGTATTCTGTGATTCAAACCTTGATTTTGTCTTTTGGTGTTTGTGTCTTCAGCAGGAGCAACACAGGCACTACCACTTACCAGCTCGGGTGACTCCTCTGTCTGCCAGTTTCAAAAGTCCTTTTTTCTTCAGTATGAAACTAGAACCATTAAAGATACTGGAACCTATTGCCAAAGCCAAGCCAATGTAGAGGTGATACCTGCTTCCAGCAGGCACGGAAACGCTCCAGTTTGTTTCATTGACAGTCCCTTCCATAGAGGTGAGGAAAGGAGAGTGTGATTCAGACACATTGATGATCTGGCACCATGCTTGGCAGGAGTCACAGCAAGCAACAGAGAGCACAGCACCTGGAAGAAGAAAAAAGATGACAAATGATCCAGGCACAGCACTGGAAAAACCCTTATGTCACTCTGCTCACTCCTTTCTATGTCTTCCCAGAGCACTTGTCCTTTCTAACTGTACAAGTAACACACAAAATCCACACAACATACACAATGCTGCCCGGAGTCATTACCCAAACCTGCAGTTCACAGGTGCATACATTATTTGACATATATATTTTGCACATCATTGGCTCAGTCAAGCAATTAGGGCAATACCAAAGAATGCAACAATAAAATATGATCTTCAATGTAAAATTCCACTTAAAATCTTAAAAGCTAACCTTAAACCTCAAGATGAAAGGGTTCTTTTGTGTTGTGCAGAGACCACATTCCCAAAACACAAACATATAGCCAAATCCATGATTTCAGACTCTCCCTGTTAAGTAAGTCTCCTGTTATTCCAGGCTTCTGCTTTTACTTTTCTGGCTGAGATTGAAAACAACAAATAAAAAACAACAACAGCAACAACAACAAAAAAAAAAGGAAGAAAAATCTATTCAGGGAGCAAACTCTAGGTATATATTCATTTTATTAAAACTGTTCTGTGAGTACTGTGCGAGCCAGATCTTTTTTAATCCATCCAAGTTTTCAGGTGAAAGCCTCATTGCATGTCACAGCAATTTTCATCTAACCTCAACATGCCCTGTCTGGAGGGAGATCACAGCCCCACAAGGGACAGTCCCCTCAGCTATCCCTGCAACAGAGCTGCAGAGCCAGGTGGTCCTCAGCTGAGACTGAACCTTCACACTCTCAGCCAGCCAAGCATTATCAGCATCACTGTGATAGTCTGTGGGAATGAGGTCATTGTTATCAGCTTAGACGTGTTTTTAAAGGAAGAAGAGATATTGCATTTCCGAGAACAAAAGGAATTATTATTTTGCCTAGGGAAGCAGGGGACAGGCAGCAAAGCTGCAACAGGGCTTATGACAGTCTAGGCTGATGTCTCCCAGTTTCTCACAGTAGAGTGCATCACACAAACAGTGTGGATCAGAAAACCTAGACTGGAATAGCTTTTAAGGACAACTTTTCTGGGGAAAAAAGGTTTATTGTGAGGACATGTTAAAATATGAAACAGCTGATGCAGAAGTACAAAAGCTCAGTCCACTGTGATTCATATTCACTGGATGCAACAAATAATTTTGCTTTCCATGTTTTCCCTGTAATTAAAATGACACATGAAGGATTCATCCTGCTGAGTGGCACCACCAGTAATACACTCCTTTTTTTTTTTTTTTCCCAACTGAAAAAAACCCACTTGAGGACTTGGTAGAAAAGGATATGCCTCTGTCTGTTCATATCTAAGCTCTGGAAATATTACTGCTATGTCAAAAGTACTTGACTTTTGACAAGTAAGCAGCCTTGGGTAATTCATCTAATACTGTTTAAGAAGGAATATTTAAAACATTAAAGGTCTTAAAAATAGCATATCTTCATTTGCAGTTGAAAATCCTGATATTGACACTGGGAGATACCATCCTTTACAAGTAAGGAAGTAGAATGAGTATTTGCTCTCAGTTTTCCCGTGCCGTACTGTGCAACAAACATACTACAGGAAGCTATCCTTTGATTTGCAAGATCTGCAGTCACATTTCCTTTTTTGCCAAGAGAGTTTCTATATAACAGGAGTTGTTTTGTACTGCTATGTCAGACTTCATAGAAGTGGTCCCACAAAATGGGTATGTTCATATCCTGCAGCTGAAGATTAAAATCTCAAAAGAGCTTAGATCAGCGTGCAATTACTTTTGCATAGTATGTAAGATAAATACTATTCTGCCATCTTATAATTATTAGAAATTGCAATCGGATAATGCAAAAGAAATGAAATTTGCATCTGCACCTGGAAGTAGTTTAAAATCCTAAAGTATTAGCATAGTCTTAGAAGAAAAATTTGCATATACTTAAGTTTTGACATAATTAATAAAGAATAAATTACAAAAGAAAATTGCAGACAAGTCCTTTAAGCATAAATATATTTTCTCTTAGCTAACAAAAACAGCGAAAAGTCAAAAATGTCCCTGCTTATGGCAGGAGGGGTCCAACTAGATGACCTTTAAAGGTCCATTCCAATCCAAACTAAGCAGAGCAGTTGCCAGTGAATGAAATCCCTTATATCCCAATATCTGTAATGATGCTAAACCAAACTGGTGTGAGAAGCAGAACATTCACAGAATCACAGAATTAAGATTGGAAAAGGCCTCTGACATCACTGAGTCCAACCTATGACCCAACACCATCTTGTCAACTAGACCATGGCACTGAGTGCT